CAAATTAAAGAATAAATCAAAGATTAATCACACTTACAATATAAAAATATTGTTATTTTTTAAGAATTACAATTGTTATTATTTCAGAATGTTATTATTATTAAAGAATGTTTTTTTTGTATCACAATCATACAATGTAATTATTAGATATATTATTAATTCAAGATTTGATTTTATGTATTATTTTATAACGTAGTTATTCATGTTTTCTTTTTATTTATATATTCTTAAAGGATATTATAAACTGTTATTTTAATAGAATGTCATTATGACATAATAAAATAGGATATAATCGGTTATTATTACATATTAAATTAGAACTGAAATTGAATTAATTTAAACAAAAAATCAGAATTATCCTTTAAAATTCGAAAATATCATTTTTTTAATTATAATTAGTTGTCTAAAATACCTTATAATTAAATTTGAGTGATAATATGGTACATGATATTTCACTGTAATATCATGGACACTCAAAATCATAGTCATTCATTATTTTTATCAATCGGTCTAGAATTATTCTTACTTACACATAATAATTACCTACAACACAATAATGAATCTAACTTTTTTGAACTATATACAAATCAACAAGAGGGCTTTTATCACGATTAACAACAAATTGTGTTTTAAATTTTTCTGGACAAAACTAATTTTTTTAACTATATACAAATTTTAGGTTAACAACACAACTATACATGACTCATTCGTAGTCTATTTCTATTTGTACTTCTATTCTTTATTTTTCAAACCAAAATTTTCTAGTTAAAATTTGTTTAACAAAGTTTCGAAAACCCAAAATTTTCTAGTTCAAATCTGTTAGACGGCTAGGAGCGGGCAACGCCTAATGGCGTTATTATGACGTGGCCTCCAAACACGGCGTTATAACGCCTGGAACACCGCGCCCGAGTGGCGTTTTTGCGCGTTACGTTACGACGCGTTACCGTGGTAACGCTTGAAAACAACTATTTTTTCGAGGCTCAACGTATACATTTCGTTTTTGAACCGTTGTAAAACGGTCAAAATTGTAAAAAAAAAATTGATTTTTTGAATGTTTTTACCTCTTTACGCCTATATATATACATATACATCCATTTTATTTCTTATCTCATATCAAACTACATTTCAAATTCTTCAAAAAATTTATCTTTTGAATACTATGGATCAAAACCCCAACACTCCTCCTCCAAACACAAATACACCTCTGCCTCTCGGTTTTGCACAATACGAAATGTATGCGCACATCCTCAACACTCAATGCAATTTTTTTAATCCCGTCTCACCCCTTCCACAAAACCTTTTCAACCCATTTGGTACAATGCAACAAAATACCACACAACCACAACCCACCCAACAAACTGTACCCGAGACGCAAGCGGGGGGGGGGGGGGGGAAACGGCCCAAAAAGGGAGATCACGAAGGAAAGGGAAAACGCTTGCGGTGGAGCAATCGGAAGACGAACCTCCAACATGGTGGACCGCGGAGGAGGAGTACGTATTGGCGGTGGCTTGGTGCGGGACATCAAAAAATCCAACGCAAGGAAACAACATGTGAAGAGTTGCCTTTTGGGAAGCCGTGATCGGGAAATTTTGTAGCCTTTTGAATAAAGATGAAAATTACCGCAATCATGACATGTTGAGTAGCAAATGAACTCAAATAAGCAAGAAGTGCACCAAGTTAAATTCCGTCTACAACAAGCTTTCCTCGCACAAGCAAAGTGGTGTGACCGATTTTGACGTTTATAGAGCGGCGATGGAGCAATATCATGTGGAGATCGGTCACGTTTTTTAGCACGAAAAAATTTGGGAGATTGTGAAGGAAGACCCAAAGTGGAATAAAACCGACACATTTACGGAACCACAATCGAAAGGGTCATGCGGCTCGGGTTCAGTCGATGTTTCGGACGCACGCACGAACATCGACCTCAATGCGGACACGAATGAGATACCGGACGACTTGAACGACATTGAAGAGATCTCCCCTCCTCGACGACCAATAGGCCGCGACAAAGCGAGGCGTGCTCAACGACACGCGGATGAAACCGAAAGTAGACGACGAGAGCAAGCCGAAATGAAAAAAAAATTTGACGAGCACAACGAAATCGCGCGTAAAAGATATGATTTGCAACGGGAACATTTTGAGTTCTTGCGTCGTGAAGCCGAGGACGATCGTATTGCGAAAGATTTGGCAATTCTTCAAACCAGCGAGGGTAATTTGCCACCGAGACGGTTGGAGACACTCCGAAAAATGAAGGCGAAGATTGAACATAAATATTTAGACGAAGATTAGTGTTTTTTTTTTCGTTGTAATGTTTTTTTTTTGTTATTTTTTTTTCGGTCTATGTTTTTTTTTCGTTGGAATGTCGTTTTATGTTTTTTCGTTGTAATGTAGTTTTTAATTAGTATTTATTTTAATTATGTGTTATTTAATTATAGTTTTTTAAATTTTATTACATAATTAAAAAAATAAAACAAAATAGAAAAATGGGAATTACAAACATCAAAAAAAATTAAAAAATAAAATAGAAAATAAATGGTGTTATTACATGTTATTTGGTGTTGTCCATTTCCAGATTTATTGTTATAACACCCATTTATGACTAGGATGATAATGTGACACCTTTTGGATATGATAATATATTATAACATGCTGTCCACACACAACACAACAACAGTCTTACAAATTTCATTATCTCAAAAAATACCATCATTATCCATTTTCAGGTTGATGGGTGGGTAGTTGGCAAGCGTTCACAACCACAGGCAGGTCTGAATTCTTTGGATATTCACTCAATCAGTATGCAGGAAATGGTCCAAGGGAATACAAAGCAGAGGAAAGAAACAAAAATAAAATGCCTAGAGGATACTTTTGTCAGTTTACTAAAAAGAGTTGGACTCATTCCATCACCACGTTTTTCACACTTTTGATACATAATTTAAGGGAATTTCACCACAATAATCAAGATTCATTTTATTATATTAGAAAAAAGGGATAGTGATATCCATTTCAATAACCATATTTTTTAAATCGATATTAGCACGTTACAACTTTTTGAAGTTGTAACGTTTGCATTTTTTGTAGTAGATATGAATTTTCTCACGTTTTTATGTCAAAAATCAATTTTTAAAATTGTTTTTTTAAAACTAAAAACATTTTCAAAATTGCTTTTCCAAACTAACTCTTTTTACGAAAGGAAAAGCAGTTTTGGGAAAATAATTTCAAAAAAAAAAAAAAAGAGTAAAATCATACATAACTACTCAAAATTGCGTTTTGGAACACCTTTTCTAATTCATGTACTTGCTTTTATGATAAAAAACGATTTTAAAAATTGTTTTTTCTAACAAAATCCAAATTTAAAAACTTTATTAAATTTATGGAAAACTAGTTTGAAAAAAAGAATTTTCGAACTCATGAATTTCAAACATGCTATTCTAGTTGCCTTTATGTTTTTAGAACTTTTATCTTTAAGTTTTTATATAAATTATACATTCTAAAAGCTTACAAATATTTTCTTTCAAATACATAAGAAGTCAAATAAACACAAATCATAAGAAAATAAATTTATAATAATAAAATCACATTACATTAGATGAATAACTACTTTGTATATGGAGGTCATTGGCTTAGTGGTATCAAAAATTGATGAATAGATGTCTCTCAGCCAAAAAGTTGAGGGTTCAAATTCTGGTGTAGACAAAATTTATAGATTTAGAAATAATATAGTATGTGAATGTATAAACCGTTATAGTTTTTTTTTACTAAAAAAAATAGCAGACATTATAAATTTATCAATGTTTTAAAACCCGGGTCGACCCGGTCGGTTCAACCGATTGGACCGTGACCCAGGGTAGAAGGCGGATCAATTGTGAACGGTTTTTTGTAAAAATACGGACCGGATCGAACCGACCGGGTTTCCCCTAAACCGCGGTTCGATCGCTTATGTTGAACCGGTTCAAACCGGATTGACCCGTTTTAATAGAGTTTGGATAGTTAGATACAAGTGACGAACATCAAAACAACGAGCCGTTTGTGATTTCTTCAATGTTTCTCAATGTTTAAACTTTGTGGACATCAAATTATTGGTTTTATATGTTTATGCATTATGCAGGAAAGTAAAAATATATAAAAAAAAAATACCATAAACCGGGTTGACCCGGCGGTTCAACCGGTTGACCCGTACACCGGTCATCACACCGGGTCAACTAAAAACCCGGGTTTTAAAACATTGAAATTTATTGAGATGGATGAATTCTCTAACCAGATTTCTCTTGCAATGGCTTTTTTCTCTGGGAAGTGATTCGTACACAACAATTTTTTCTCTTCCTCTAGCTTGTCTGAGTTGAAAAGAATAAATCGAAAAATTGGTGAATCACAAGACCATAAATGTGTTTTTTATTTGCATTTCCATATTTATATGTAGGTTATTATACTACAAAGTTCTCTTCGTGAAAGAAGTACAAACTTTGGTCTATATAGTACAAACTTGTCACTAAGCTCACTTACAAGTACAACACAATTATTTGTTCATTTTAACTCTTAAATAACTAACTCATATCATATTATCAAAATATTAAAATAATATACTTCTAAATACCAAATTAAGTTTTGGGTTAAATGAGTTAAAACTTGGACTACAAATTTTTGATGACGTAGCAATGTTTAATTGGTTGTGGGAATGATGAGGGTATGGCACAATGGTCATTAGTCGAAAGACATTTCCTTCTTTTGGAAAGCATATGGATGCCAATTACTATAAGGCTGGAGGATGTGGTGTCAAAAGTTATCATTTGGTAGACGCGAGTTGTCATACTTGTCATGCTACCTATTCTTTTTTTTTTAATATACAAAATAAATCTTTCAAACAAAACAATTTTTAAAAATTAAAAATTCATTAAACTTAAAATAAAAACATAGAAATTCAAAATAACAACAAACACACCAAAAAAAATAGAATTTAAAATTAAAACCATACAAACTAAAATTACAAAACCTAGATAGGCCTAAAGAACATCTTCATCGGAAAATTGACCTTCCAAATCGCTAACCGGTTCTGTGTTAAGATCGATGTGGTTGACGTTCCAAATACGTTCCATTAAGTCCCGACGAAGAACATGATGCGTCCCAACATCATTAACTAGTGCCCTCCTCGACGTGTACTCCGCACTTCCAACCTCAAAAGCTTGTGTCGGTGGAACGATCTCGTTTTCGTTATACTCACATATTGTATTTCCTTCGTCTTCGAGAATCATATTATGCAATATGATACAAGTATACATCACCTCGCTCATTTTCTTCTCCTCCATATACGACGCGAGATATTTAAGAATATGCCAACGTTTTTTCAAAGCTCCAAATGCTCGTTCAACATCATTTCTCGCCCGCTCTTGAGCTCTCTTAAACTTCAACCTTTTCCAATCATTTAGACAAGATAATGACTTCACAAAATAAGCATGCTCCAGATAGATCCCATCCACCAGATAATACCTGTTCCTATACGATGTTCCAGCTACTTGAAAAGAGGAGTCTGGTGCAGTCCCGTTGTACATGTCGTCAAGTAACGGAGACATGTTAAGAACATTGATGTCATTAAGGGAGCCAACTGATCCAAAGAATGCATGACATATCCACATATCCTGTGAAGCCACCGCTTCAAGTATAACGGTTGGATAACCATGATCGCCTCGGGTGTATTGCCCTTTATGAGGATTCGGAGAACAAGCCCATGCCCAGTGGAGGCAATCTAGGCTTCTTAACATTCCAGGAAAGTCGTGCATGTTTGAGTGATGAGCATACAATTGTTGGATGTCACTACAAGTAGGTTTGCGCAGATATCGTGGACCATATAATGTAATGACATACTTGCAAAAATTGTGAAGGCTAGTTCGTGCAACACGTCCGGACATCCTAAGGTTTTCCCCTAGTGCATCGGGGCAAGTGGCATATGCTAATTGACGAAGTGCAGCAGTGCATTTTTGTATAGGAGTAAAACCAATTGTACCTCTAGCATCTTTGTCACAACTAGCATTTTTAGCTAGGAAATTATGTTCTCATGTAAACATCAACTATTGTAAGACTTGTACTAACACGTTAAAGTTTACATTATGGTTCCTAATGAACCATGTATTGTTATAATGCAAAGCATATATGTATCTCAAATCTCTCCCAAATCTCTCTATGTACCTCAAATCTCTCTCAAATCTCCCTATGTAGCTTCCTTAGTCGAAACCAACTCAAAACGAAAGGAGAAAAACTTGAAAGAGCAAGCCCAGTTCGGAACCCCTTAAGTGACTTCGGACCCTCCCACCGGCCAATCTCGCTCCGGACATATGCTGATCCGGAACTGCCGACTCCGAAAAGCTTCGCACCACTCCGGAAGATCTCGCAGCTTCGGACCGGAAGCCTTTGCTACCTCGGAACCCTCGCAGCCTCGGAAGGAAAGGACTTCGGATAAGAGCTGACTTCGCAACCCTCGACTCCGGAAGCTACTATGCGACTCCGAAACCTAAAAAGAACTTCGGAACTCATGGCTTGACTCCGGAACTCACCATTTGACTCCAGATTTTAGACCATTTCGGACCATTTCTTCATTTTGAGATATTTGGACGTCGGGAATCCCATCAAACTCATATTTTTCATAACTTAGACCCCTTAAACCCCTATTTTATGCCAAAATTAGATATTAAAGCATAATTACACAAAAATAATATCTTGATTTGACAAGGATATTATTTTAAGATCATAAAGTGATAAGAGGGTTTGACTTTATGATTTGATGTAATTCCCATTCTCCATGCAATTCACAGTAACCCATGCATTACCCATCAAATAACAATGCTTTGAACCTTCATATTTCCAAGCACATATTTCCCCCTTTATCCCTTAAAGCAATAGCAGTAAGAGTGATTTAAACTCCACCATTTCCCTCACTTCTCTGATATTCTCTCCAACACTTCTCTCAAAAGAAAGAGCAAGGATCTTGCTAAAGGCTTAACTTCTCAAGTTTTCCTTAGAGTTTCTAAGTAAGTTTTTCCACTCATCTAGTATTTTATATAATTTTCAAGATAAATTCACATTATTTCACCCATAATGATATGTGAGAAAAACTCTAGGGACAACATTCCTTCTAAGGAAGTTCCTCAACTCATCCAAGAGTTTAGGCTAGAGATCTTCACCCCCATCACTCCAATCAACTCATCAACCAACTCAAGGTGAGCTTCATACCCCTATTTTCGAGTTTTTTTTTATTGTTTTTGGTGGAGAATACAAGTCAAAGCCTTGTTTAAATCATGATATGCATGTATGCTAAGTTATATGTGCTAAGGTTATGAAAACTCCAAGAACTCAAAATATTGAGCAAGTCTCTAGAGTTTAAACCATATTTTACAAATTATGTATAGAAACAAGAACTAGTATATTACAAAGTATAAGACACAAATGTATATAACAAAAACGATAAGGATTTGCTTCGAAAATTGCTTAAACGAGCATCTTAGAAGGAAGGGTCCATTTTCAACCATCCACATAGTTATGAACTACTTGAGACACCTTTTTGACAAATGTGAGTATTATTTGATAGTTTATAAAATGAAGGACCATTTTGCCAACATCGAAAATACTGGGTCATTTTGACAAAACTAATTCAAAAGGGATTATTTTCAATAAACGAAAAAGAAACATCTAGTCAATGAGTACAACTATTGTTATTTATCTAATAAATAACGGATTACAACGATTTTGCACAAACACATGTTAGTATTCTATTCAGACGCATCTTCACAGTACCTATATATATATATATATATATATATATATATATATATATATATATATATATATGTATATGTGTGTGTGTAATAGTGTACGCTTCAAGTCTTGTAAGAGTTATAACCAGAGTCTCCTAGAGGCGGAGCGGGAATTTGTGTATAGATCTGTACGGGGTTGACACCCCGCACATTCGCTGTTCGCTACAGCTAGACCGGCCAATCTATGGTGACAAATCTCTTAAACGAAACCGACGCCTGAAGAACGTCAGAACAGGCACTCCGTCATATTAGTATGGTTATAACGACTCACTTAGAATATAACAGTTATTATTTAGAACATTACGCAAGTTACACCTTTCGATTATAAACAACTATTGGTTGGATACGTTAAACGAAGCTTTTACCACACAAGTCTTAGGGTTTTAAGACTACTATTTTATACGTCAGAAAATATAGGATTTTCTGGGAAAAACGATTTTATACGATTTCCAAAACGATAAGCTAAAACACACAGGCAACTATACTTGATTAGAAACAAGACTTACAACTATTATGATAAGAAAATATGGGATTTTCTTGTTTCCAAGTATCACAGATTTTTATACAAAATGCTTATGAACTCACCAACATATTTTTTGTTGACGTTTTTCAAACGACTTGCATTCTCAGTAAATCAGTAAGCGGGTTAGTGGAATGCGGATTCAAGATTATTTTAATGTAGTTTGGAATTTACTCAATGTTGTCTCTTTTGTGTAATTCAAGAACATAAACAAGATGTAAAACAATGTAAGTTTGTTATATTGATATATGATTATTTGATTTGCTATGTTTCATTTATAATCAATTGTTATGATACTGCACAATGACGTCACCCGTCTCCGGACGTTTCCGCCGTTCTGGTCTGGGGGTGTGACAGATTGGTATCAGAGCATTTTTTATAGTGAGCTAGTATATCTAGCCATACAAGATATACAACTATAAATACAATGGGACTAAAACACTCTGACTAAAAGTATATATACTTGCTAGAAACGTATCATAAATGGAACAAAACAAGAGAACTTAAAGGTTGAACACTACAGTCAAACCTAGACAGTTATATAATCATATCTGGGATAAATAGAGCCTGATCAACTATATTTATTTGAGATATGACCAACATGTTTTTGGGAGTGGTAGTGGAGTTGCAACAAGTCTACAATTTCCCAACTCGTTATCCAAAAGTTTTAAGAGCCAAACCTAAACAATTAAAATACTATAGGAGTATTTTGGAACCTATTTACACATACTCTCCTTATAAGTTTCTCACCCCTCGTGCAGACACTATGGCCGGATTCCTCCATCTAGGAGATCCCTATTTCTCCAACCAGGGAAATGGTGGATGGTTGGAGCCAGAGGAGGAGCCAGAGGAAGAGCCAGAGGAAGAACCGGAAGAAGAGCCGGATGAAGAGCCTATATGAGGACCGGGCGGACCGGTAGCTGACTCAGACGAGGAGGAGGATGATGGCAGCGACGCAGATGATTCAGATGCTGAGTCCGAAGTCATCAATCCGCCCTACATGGCAAGAGTGCCCCCATACGGAATGGGCCCCAATGGTCCTACGCACCCATGGGCGCACGAGATCTGGAGGTGGAGCTGTCAACAAGGGGTACGACCTCCATTTGGTATGAACCGGGACTACTACGACTTAAGTCACGGTGGACCTGCAGACCGAGCCCTACCTGTGATGGTAAGGAGGACACGCGACATTGGCGAGCAGACTCAGGCAACCGTCAGCCAAATGGTGGCCATGAGGGTTGCGGTTGAGCGCACATAGAGGATGACACAGGAGGTAGTCAGGGACTACCAGGCATGCCAGACAACATTGGAAGCCCGACTTCGGGCCGCCGAGCACCACCTGGCTAGACTGCAGGGCGCATCTACCTCGTCGTCGGCACCACTAGACCCCACTCGTCGCAGCTAGTACCCGTTCACTCGCTACCGTATTTATTTTTCCCTTATGCACTACTCTATGTACTATCGACTACATGATTAAGTGAAGTGATTACTCATACTCATGAGTCGTTACTTTGTCGGATTTTATTTAATGTATTGTATGCCTTATATAGGCAAATTTTCATGTACTCAAAAGATTATCATCAATGAAAACGGCTATATATTTTCTCATGATGTGTTACCTGTTATGTGCTCTATTACTATTATTACATGTTGACTGTATGCACACACTTGCTTATATACAACCGAATCACCGAAACTATTCTATAATCAAGAAATCATGAAACAAAATACATTGGATAATCATTGTCCTTCTGTTCCATAACAGAAAGATGCCGAGGAGACCTATCCATAAGAATAACAACACAGCACCACCACCGCCTCCCTCACCGGAGATGAACTTTGCGGCCTTCCAAGCGGCAGTTTCAGCTGCAGTGACAGCGGGTCTAGACCACATTCAAAACGGAAATAATGGTGGTGGGAATGGCCAAGGGACGGGAAGCTCCCACCAAGGGATGAACCAAGGGCCTGTAAAGGCATGTACCTACAAGGACTTTTCCAATGCAAGACCCCGCACTTTCAACGGGACTGGAGGATTCATAGCTTTGAAACGATGGATCGAGAAGGTTGAGTCGGTGTTCGAGATATGCGAATGTCCAGAAGGGAGTAAAGTCAAATTTACGGCCTGCACATTCATCGACCATGCATTGTCATGGTGGAACGGTCACATTCAAGCCATGGCACTCCCTGTTGCTAACGCCATGTCCTGGGAAGAAATCAAGGATATGTTAATCGTCGAGTACTGTCCCCGAAGGGAGGTACAAAAACTCGAGCAAGAACTGGGGAACCTTACGATGCAGAACTCGGACATTGACGTGTACATCTCGAGGTTTAATGAAGTCGCGCTTTTGTGTCCTGGTATGATTACGTCCGAGGGAAAGAAAGTCGAACGATTCATCTGGGGATTGACACCTCACATTCAAGGTAATGTGATTGCCTTGAAACCCGAGACCTA